CGCCTCGGCCTGTCCCCTCCGGGGCGCCATCCTCTGCGGCCCCTCTCTGGGCCCCTCACTTTCTCCGCCCGCGCGACGTGGCCCCGGCCCCGGCAGACCGCCTGGCCGGCCCCGGTGTGGGATCCGTGTGTCCAGTGAGATGTGGACGGTGCTCGATCCCTCTTATACGTGGAGACGCTTAGGATATTTTGCGAAAAGCGCACGGCATCCAGAATCAGGGTCGGCGCCGGAACGCCGGGGCTCCGGTGCCCGGCCGTGTGCCCTGCGCTCCCGGGCCAGAGCACGTGGCCTGGGGCTGGGCGAGGGCAGAGAAAAGGCGAAAGGCCGAGGCCCCTGGTGAGCGGGGTCTGAGCCTGGCCAGAGAGGCTGGGACCGGCCGTCGGGGCTGGGAGAGGTGCCCCTGGGTATGGACACGGAGGCCAAGTGTGGACTTGTATTCTGCCCCACCTTCCTCGGGGACGGCACTCCAGCCACACAGAGGACCCCGAAGGGACCCCCAGCTCACGCGCCCCACGCGCTCAGGGTGGCCATCACGGAGGGGTGCAGGCTTCCCCGCTGTGGGCCCACTTGCAGGACAGCTCAGGGCTGTCCGCCCCCAGGCCCCAGCCCCACATCCTCGGGACAGCTGCGGCCCCGTGAGCCTCGGACGGGCCTGGGCGCGTGGGCAGCTGGCTCGCACTAGCGCGCCACGGTCACGCTGGGACTCGCGAAACCCATCGCGTTCGGCAGGGCTGCCCGGAGCCCGCTTGGCTGTTCACACGCTGCCCTCCCCAGGGGGCAAGGCCGGGGCAGGGGCCTTCTGCCGGTCCCTGGAGACGGGGGTCTCGGGTCTCGGGGCTACAACGGCCGCCCTGATGCCCAGGCGAGAGCACGAGGGGCCGGTGGGGTCTGTGGACACCCCCTTCCAAGGAGGGATGGCCTCAGGTGCTGACGCCGCCCCCGAAGGTCACCGCCAAGAGAGCCGCGGTCAGCTGGAGAGCTCTGCCCGCCACACCCACCAGCATGCGCCGTGGGCGGGCGAGCTGGACACCTGCCTGTCCGCACGCGGGGTGGCGCCCACTCTCTGGATCGCCCCCTCCCTCCTTCCCACCGAAGTGAAATGTGGGGGAACCCCACCAGCTCTTCTACCAGCCCCGTGCGGCGCTCCCCACACCGGGTTCCCTTCAGGTGCACGAGACTTCCTTTCCCGTCCACCCAACCTCGCCCATCTTCCCACACCTGCACAAGCCCCGTCTCGTCTTGGAAATGTCCCCAGGAAATGCCGCGGGCGTCACCAGCGCGCCTCCCTCTGCCCGCCGCCCCCGCTCAGTCTGTCGCTGCCGCAGGGAGAGACGGGCAAGGTGCCCCTCCCGGCGCTGGGCAGGAGCCGGG